TAAAAGATCCATTCAAACTACAAGATAGACTGCAAGACAGAAGACGGATTTTACTGTGACAGAGTACAAAAAGTTCACCTGTATAGTTTCAGATTTCACATTGTAACCTTTAACAAACCTACTATTTAACAAACTTTTAACAAACCTTTTAACAAACCTCTGATACTTTTGGTGAAGTATCAGAGAAGACTGACCACAATTATCTGAAAGATTATTAAAATACTCCTGCTTTTCCAATTGCATATCTATGCTTTGATTGAAGGCAAAACAACACACTGAATGCAGAAATAGATATAATAAGGCTGTAATAGCTATTTCTATCAAGCCAGACGTTAAGGAGATTTATAAAAATGTGTAACAGTCCCACTCTCCTCATGAATTTTTTTGCAGAAAACAATTATTTTTTCATAAAACATGCTTCTATATTATATATGGGGTTTATGTTTTAATTTCTAATGTAGTAAATATCAATCAGTTTGGGGATTTTCAGTTTTTAAGTGTAGAAAGGGGTCCTAAGATCAAAAAAGTTAAACTTGGTCCTGTGCTCTTTTCTCTACCCCAAATTCTCTTTTTTGCCTCCAAAAATCCCTTAAATGATTGTAGAACTAGTATTTAGTTATTCATTCAAAAAACATTTGTTGAACATCTATCAAACCTGGCTTTTCTTGCTGCTGGGTACATGGTCCCAAGCCATTATGGGGAAGATGGATTAAACAACTATAACACTGTATGCGAAAGAAGAGACTGAAAAAGCTGGCTTAAAACTCATTTAAAAAACTAAGGTCATGGCATCTGGTCCCATCACTTCATGGCAAATAGATGGAGAAACAATGGAAACAGTGACAGACCTTATTTTCTTGGGCTCTAAAATCACTGTGGATGGTGACTGTAGCCATGGAATTAAAAGATGCTTGCTCCTTGGGAGAAAAGCTCTGACCAACCTAGACAGCATATTAAAAAGCAGAGACATTACTTTGCTGACAAAGGTCCGTATAGTCAAAGCTCTGGTTTTTCCAGTAGTCATGTATAGATGTGAGAGCTGGACCATAAAGAAAGCTGAGTGCTGAAGAATTAATGCTTTTGATCTGTGGTGTTGGAGAAGACTCTTGAGAGTGCCTTGGACTGCAAGGCAATCAAACCAGTAAATCCTGAAGGAAATCAGTCCTGAATATTCATTGGCAGGACTGATGCTAAAACGGAAGCTCCAATACTTTGGCCACCTGATGCAAAGAGCCGACTCCTTGGAAAAGACTCTAATGCTGGGAAAGATTGAAGGCAGGAGGAGAAGGGGATGACAGAGGATGAGATGGTTGGATGGCATCACCGACTCAATGGACATGAATTTGAGCAAACTCTGGGAGATGGTGAAGGACAGGGAAGCCTGGCATGCTGCAGTGCATGGGGTCGCAAAGAGTTTGACACAATTGAGCGGCTGAATAACAACAACATTGTGTGATAAACATTACCAGTGATAGACATGTAAATACTGGGGGAAGACAGGCTATTGTCAGACACTCACTTGCCAGCTCACTTAGGAACATTTTTTTGAGCAATTTGATTGAATTGTACTTCCTTTATTTGACTCTATGGTCCATAGAGGGAAAGTGGCTGAAGTTAGCGAAAGATGGGAACTGTTCACTTGCTGCTCTGGCAGGAAAGAAGGAGATAACAAATGTATTAAGTGTCAATTTTATGCAAGCCCTATGCTAAGTGCTTTAACAATTGTAATCTTACCTAATTCTCACAAAAACCGTATGCAGCAGAATTAATTATCATTTTGCAAGTGAGATGCTGGAGGCTGGGAAAAGTTAAACAACTTGTCCAATATCATATGGTTGTAACTGATGAAGCCAGAATTTTGACATATGTATTCTGACTCCAAGGGCAGGGTCTTGCACTGTAGTAATAATGTGTTGCTAAATGCGTGGGTTTTTAAAGGTAATTTTCAGATGGGTCTGTGAAACCTTGCCAGGTTGGAATGTATTAAGAAAGATAGTAAAGATCTCAAGAAGGAGAGAGAGACAGCATAGGCAATGCTCCATTGAAGGGATTTTTTGTGAATTTTGTCTGACATGATTTTTCTGGACAGGATTCTGTGGCAGTATAGGGCATCAAGACTTTGTATTCCCTTATCCTCAATTCCTTTGATCTTTCTCTGTGCCAAATGATGCCAGAAGCAAAAGTCACCTGTCTGTCTGATCAGGTTACAAACTAGAGCCTGATGTTTGAAGCCCAAACTTGTTGGACCTGTTGTAGGCCAATCAGGCCCAGCCTGGAGACCCTAGTCCCTAGAGCTTGGTAAACTATTTCCATTATTTTTAAAAGCCCGATAGAAGTGCTTTACTTCAGATAATCCTGTGTGTGGATACAGGTTAGTGAAAAGATTAGATTTGTTTGTTTTGGGTCAAAAATCTGTTGATCCAGTGTGCTTCAGTTGTACTACCTAGGGAGCTCTAGAAATGGTGTCAGCAAAGTATGGTCCAAGGGCCAAATCCAGCCCACTGTCTGTTTTTGTAAATAAAGTTTTATTGAAGCACAGCTGAGTTCTCTTACTCATGTTTTGTCTTTGGCTGCTTTTGTGTTCAATGACAGGGTTACATAGCTGCAACAGAGACTGTATGGCCCATAAATCCTAAATCGTTTACTGTCTGGCGTTTTGCAGAAGAAGTTGTTGACTCCTAGCATAACCTCAATTCTTTCTATTATGGCACTTAGCACTTGGTATTTTAATTGCCTATTTCCCCCACTTTTTTTTTCAAATCAAATATATTATGTTTTGGGCATTTCATACCCACAGTATAATGGAAAAGACAGGCATGAGCACATATAATTTAAATATGAGTCAATAAATGCTATAATAAAAGCATGTACAGCAACACTATGAGGCTCACCCAAGCTGGTCCTGGCAGAGCCCCTTGCTTTTATAACTGAGCTCCTTGAGAGTAAAGATGAGGTCTGCTTCATCTCTTCATCCCCTGTGCTGATTATAGACCCTGACATATAAACAGTACTCAATAGATGTTGTTTGAATGGACATATCATATGCTGATCCAAAAATCTCTTATAGGCAATTATATATGCCTTTGAGTAGTATAAATACAGGAATGAGGGAAGGAAAGTGTTTTGTTGGTTATGCTAATCTCAGTGCTGTGTGCTTCATCTCCAAACTAGTCATTACTTACTGCAGTTTGTTTGGGATAAGTAGTGGATAGGAGTCCATGAATGAAGCAATTGTGTTAAGTAAGAGCTCTTGTTGGTGAGGAAATTAGAAACAGTGCCTTAATTTTGGGCTATTTTCTACTCTTTCCCTCAGTATCCACCACACCTTTACTCCACCTTCCATTTCCCACTCCAGCTTGCCAGGACAGAGGTAGAGGAACATAGGGTCTATGGAGGTAATTATTTCTTTTGTATGCATACTATTTATCTTACTTTTTTCTTTTATAAAGCCATTTTTTCAGTGTGGTTCTTACCAGCATTACCATCTGTGGCTTCCAGAAGATACAACTAACTTAAAGCTATCTGGTTACCTTGGTGTAAAGGCAGGCAGGTGAAGTGCTGGCCTGGGAGTCAGCAGACCTGGGCTCTTGTTGTGCCTCTATAGTGGCTTTTGACTTGGGATACATCCGTTAACATCTGTGAGCTTCAATATTCAACACATTTTTATTGAGTTACATCTGAGACTTTAAAAATTTAATATTTATAACCCTCCTCATTTTGAAAAGGATTTGAGTGACTAGCAAGTGATAGAGAGGTGACCTGTCCGATCTTGTCTCTGTTTCTGACCAGCAGATAAGTAAATGATTAGATGGATGAGAGCATTTCAGGTCTCTGATCAGGGCTTTCTAGAAGGCTTCACAGCCATAGCTTCTTCACCTTGTCCTTGCTTCCTCTTCTGTGACTACTTCTATTTGGAAAATCAAGATCTTTCTTCTATCTTCTTTGGGGATGATTTGAAGAGTATTTTGCCTAGAAAGTAGTTATCAAGCTCAAGGTCAAAAGAAAAGAGGAATTTTACACTCTAGGGATTGGAAGACGTGCCAAAAACTTTAGTTAAAATGTCTTTTTCAAATAGTGAACTTGAAGCCTGAAGAAGGGAAGTGATCTCCTTAGAGCCATATAGTAGAACTATAGCTAGATTCCAGGCTCTTTCTGCTAGGGGTTTTCCAGGTTCATAAGAGGATTCAGTTCAGTTCAGTTCAGTTGCTCAGTCATGTCCGACTGTCTTTGCGACCGCATGAATCGCAGCATGCCAGGCCTCCCTGTCCATCACCAACTCCCGGAGTTTACTCAAACTCAAACATAAGAGGATTAGGTGTCATGAAATGGACTGGGTGGTTTTATTGCTGTATAACTGTATGGTGGTGGGCAGAGGAAGCTTCATTCCACACCTCCCATGCAGTTGTGTCAGGTATGCTCAGGACCTTAGATATCTAATAGGTAGACAGCTGAAGGCTGTCTCTGAGAGGGCATAAGATGTGAAGGGTTTCCCTAGTTGGCCTGTGACTGGCATTATGTATATGGGCAGTGACAAAGTTAACAAAGAGGAAAACTATGTAGTACTCTGGCATTGAGACAAATGGGCTGTTTTCCTATTTCTAGAGAGATTGTATTAATTTACATTTATTTGTTGTTTCTTTTGAATATGTATTTCTTTGATTTCTAGTGAGACCTTTTCCTGTGTTCATTGATTTTTTTTTATTTTTTATCATTGACTATTTGTATTTTCTCTCACTTGTATTTTTTTTTTTCTTGTTGAGTTATTTATTCATGTTCTTTGTGTATATCCCAGTGTATTCCTAGTCCTATGCTTGACTTCCCTGCCAAGAAACTATTAGGATAATAAAGCATTGTTCCTAAATGGGGAAGGCAGTTAATAAGAAATATTCTTCTTGCTATTAAATGGAGTCAAGTGTTAGAAGCTAGGGACAATGAGACAGGTGGGTAATAGAGCTGGGCGGCAGCCCCCAGTAACATTGTCTCTTGCTTTTCCTGTACAGAGTTTTGCCGGATTGACAAGCCCTTGTGCCACAGTGAGGATGAGAAGCTCAGCTTTGATGCAGTCCGCAGCATCCACAAGCTGATGGATGATGATGCCAATGGTGACGTGGATGTGGAAGAAAGCGATGAGGTGAGCTCCCTCACCCTTTGTGGCTCTCTTCTCTTCCTGTGCGAACAGTCATTGAAGCTGTCTAGACAGGCTGTTCCCTGGAAAGAGGTGTTCTTGCTACTGGCTTGTTCTCTAGGGTAGCATCCCTACCAGGGAAGGTGATTCTCAGCAGAGCAGCCTCAAGGAGCCGGCCTGTCAGAGAGCAGACCTTACCTCTCTGTCTGTGTCTGGACCGGCCCCCGTCTGCCTACCAGCTGGAAGCACAGCACTGACCTAGCTGTGCTGTTTGAGAGGGAGAGGAAACCTTGAGGCTGGTCTGTACAGTTTGCCTGCATCCTTACTATACTCCTTCTGTAGGCGGAGGGCACCCATCTATCCTAACTCTGTGCTGTTCATGTGGAGGAGAAGGCAAGGCAGTCAGATCTTGCCCTTTGGAAACTTATATTCTGTTTGTGAAGAAGAGACAGAGATTCCTAGAAAGCTTATTCTGAATTCCAGGCTGCAGCTGCTAGAAGTCAGTTGAGTGGTCCAGACAGCAAGAGTGAGAGGAATCTCTGGATGAAAGAGCCCTGTTATTGTTTTACCTTTGGGCATTACTACAGCTCCAGTTCCACAGAGCCCCTAGTACAAAGTCATCATGTTTGAGAAGATTTAAAAATTTCAGTTGTTTTCGGGCTCAACTTGAGCCAGCACTTTGGTGAAGCTGCCAAGTTATGCCAAATCTCTAGTAGTGATATGGTGTATATCTTGAGGGAGGAGGTAATTCTGGTCTCTCCTTCCTGCTGGTTAGTCCACTTTCAAAGTTTGAATTCAGTTTTGGATTTCACATTGTCAGAAACATCATGAAACAGTGAAAGCCTGTACAGTGGAGTGACATGACTGATGAGGGGTGTGGAAACCATGAAATGGAGAGCATTCAGTACAATTCAGTGTCTATAAGTACCTATTATGTGTGTGCCAGGCACTGTTCTAGACGTGGGGATATGACGGTAAATACATATAATTACATAGCGATACATCCGTCCTTGTATAACTTACAATCTAATGAAGAAACTTTAACCTGGAAAAGAAAAGATTCAGATAATATAATTCCTATCTTCAAATAAAATAGAAATAGAGGAATCAGGCTTAAAAGATGATAATGGTTAGCAGTGAAATGCTTACTCTATGCCAGGCACAGTGTTAAGCTCTTTGCACAGTTACTCTTTTAACTTCGTTAACAGCCTTATGAAGTTGGTATTATCGTCAAGGACTGGAACTTTGGAAAGGTTAAGCATTTCATTCGGGGACACACTGAGTGTGGGCACAGATCTGATTTCAAAGCCTGTGCTGTTAAGTACTGCTGTGTTGTCTCTCTTATTCTGAGGGCAGAGCCAGGACCACTGTGGGGAAAGTAAAATATAGGCATGTTCTTCTGGAGTAAAGAATCGCCTAACAGTGCTATCTCGTCATAGTAGAGGCTTCCTTGGTAGGTAGATAGTGAACTCCTTGTCACTGAAGATTGGCAAGTAGAACACAAACCTCCACTGACTGGTCTACCGAGGGGGATCCTTGTATCAGGTTGAACTAGATAATGTCTAATGAGAGGAGAAAAATAGACTTCCTAGAGGAAATGTAGAATTGGGATAAAGTGGAAAGGGAGGGGGCAGCCTGAGCAGTAGGAAGGAGTGTGGGCAAAGATGTGGAGGCAGGAAGAAGCACGGTTGGTAGGTTTGGTCGGACAGAGTGACTGTGGTAGAAAAGCACAGGACAAAACCTGAAAAGGAAAGGGGGCCCAGGCAACCAGGCAGAGATACGTATACGATCTGGCAGCTGTAGCTTTTTAAGGACAACAGCCATGATGAAGGTATCTGAGCTTGTGGTCACATCTAGAAGTGTCACTGGCTTTCAAAGGACCCAAGTTTTATCTGTCTGTGCTGGGAATAGTGCCATGTTCCTGGTGGTGAGAGAGGCCGAGAGGTTTCCTGACGTCTCTCCAAGGACCTGGCCACCCGACTGGCACCACAGTCAAGAAGGTGATGTGTTCCAAGATCCACAAATTCCTGGATATCTTTGTCATCTGCTCCTCTTTCTTTTTTCACTTTCTGCTGAATTACTTTGTCAATGAGGGGAAGAAGAAAATGTTCTTTTTAGAGGAATGTACCACAACAAAAAGCTCATCAGCACAAACTGTTCTAAAATAACACAAAAGCTGTCACCCTGCTCTTCCCTGTGCCAGTGGCGAGCTGTTCTTTTTCAGCGGAGCTTCTGCCTTCCTGAGCTTCTTCATCTGCTCTCCCTGCAGTCTCAGGCCTCTGGTGGGCAGAGGGGCCTGCCAGTCTTGGTTTCTCATGATCAGTTACAAGCTCCTTTCTTTTTGAAACAGATAGTTGTGGTAGCAAAGTCTATGTGTTTAAGACAATGTCAACATATATGGAGTTCAGGATCTAACTAGACCCATTGGGTGGACAGCTCAGAGCTTGGAACATTAGATTATGGACTCCGAGACAGCAGAGATGAAACCCTGGTTGTGTTGGCGATCAAGGACCTGAGATTTTTATGACCCATTTAACAGAACTGCTGATTACCCAAGGAGCCTAGTAGCAGTCTGCAAGGATACTATATTCAGGCTTCATTTATTCAGCCTCATATCAGTAAATTTTTCAGATAACTGAACTATAACCTCATTTCTAGATATTTAAAAATTTTAGCCATTCTTGAGGTCAGGTTTCCTCCTTACAGACTATTGTGAATGGTCTTAACTTTCTTTGGATCATTTGGAGCAGGTCTGCACAGCCTCTTGCACTGTTACCCTAGTGCCTGCATTCCCATATGCATTGTTGTGATTTGTTTTTATAGTTTCCTGTCTCTTCTTGGATTCATTCTCATTTCTAATTGTTCTATCTCTGCTCTGAGCTATGAAATTAGACTTATAGTACACTGAGATTCAGCCACCATTTTACAGAAAATATGTAGTCATTTGTGTGGAGGAAGCCAGTTTGGTTTCTCAAGTGCCATCCTTGCTTGCTTTTATCCTAGGCAGCCAAGGATTGAGGGCCCTTCAGATGAGCAAGATGGCACTGTTGACACTGGTGTCCTCCTTGTAAAGCTGACAGTTCTCACAGCCTGGCAGGGTGGGAATTCATGACCTGTGTTCTACTGAGACCTCTGGTGGAGACACTGCCTTTGGGCAAAGGATTTGCAACCATGGTATGGTGTTTCAGCCTGTCCTGACAGTCTGAGGTGTGCAGACAAGAGCCTTCCTAAAAACACTGGCCCCTTGAATGGACCAGACAGTTTGAGGGCAGTTTTATTTTCTTCTGTGGCACCTACATAGAAAATAAAGGACATTTGTTCAGCCATTAAACAATTCTTATTGTCATATGGATAATAAACAAGCATATGAAAAAATACTCAATATTGTTAGCCACTAAGGACAGTACAAATTAAAACCACAATGGGATATCACTACACACCTCTTTGGATGGCTAAAATTAAAAAGTGGTCAACACCAAGTACCATGTGATGAGGAAGAGTCACTTGAACTCTTACAGAGATTTTTATAGAGCTGAACAACATAATTTAATACATGTCTCAGCATTTCTACTTCTAGGTATTTACCCTATAGATAAATGAAAATTTATATTTGTACTAAAACCTGTACATAAATGTTTTAGCAGCTTTACTCATTATCACCAAAAATTGGACACAAATCAGATGTCCTTCAATATGTGAATGAAGAAAACAAACTTTGGAAAACTACTCAGCAATAGAAGAAGTCAACTGCTGATGCACACAGCACAGAGGAATCTCAAAAGCGTTATGCTGAGAGAAGGAAGCCATCTCAAATAGTTACATACTATTAATATATGATAACATCTAATGACTTTCTGAGAAACTATAGAAATGGAGGCCAGATCAGTGGTTACCTGGGATAAGGGATATGAGGTGGGTTTGATTATGAAGGGACAGCATGAAGGAATTTTTTTGGTAATAGAACTGTCCTGTGTCTGGGTTGTGAGGCAGTTATAAGAATTTACATATGTACTAAAACTCATAAGAAGATATTCTGTCCCCCTCCACTATAGTTAATTTAATCATACATTAATTAAACAAAGTGTTTCTAGCATAGCAATGACACACAATTCAAGCTCAGTGAATGCTAATTATTGCTGCTTTTCTGTTTCCTCTATATTTCCAGGAAAGCTACCTATATCTGACATTTGTATTTTAATGTTCGTGTGTGGAATGACTGACTAATATCACTGTAGCGAGCATGCTGTTAGACTGAGATGGGAGTCTTACACAAGGGTGTGATCACACATTTTGGGGGATGAAGATGAATAGGTTAGTATGAGCCTGGAAAGCTGTAATGCCACAGGACTGGAAAAGGTCAGTTTTCATTCCAATCCCAAAGAAAGACAATGCCAAAGAATGTTCAAACTACTGCACAATTGCACTCATCTCACACACGAGCAAAGTAATGCTGAAAATTCTCCAAACTAGGCTTCAACAGTACATGAACCAAGAAATTCCAGATGTTCAAGCTGGATTTCGAAAAGGCAGAGGAACCAGAGAGCAAATTGCCAACATCTGTTGGATCATAGAAAAAGCAAGAGAATTCCAGAAACACATCTACTTCTGCTTCATTGACTATGCTAAAGCCTTTGACTGTGTGGATCACGACAAACTGGATGGGAATACCAGATCACCTTACCTGCCTCCTGAGAAACCTGTATGCAGTTCAAGAAGAAACAGAACCAGACATGGAACAACGGACTGGTTCCAAATTGGGAAAGGAGTACATCAAGGCTGTATACTGTCACTTTGCTTATTTAACTTATATGCAGAGTACATCATGCGAAATGCCAGGCTGGATGAAATACAAGCTGAAATCAAGATTTCCAGGAGAAATATCAATAACCTCAGATACGCTGACGACACCACCCTTATGGCAGAAAGCAAAGAGGAATTAAGAGTCTCTTGATGAAAGTGAAAGAGGAGAGTGAAAAAGCTGGTTTAAAACTCAGCATTCCAAAAAG